AGGTTTTCTTAGGCCACCCCCGGAGGCGCGAAGCTAAATCTCGCGTGGGGCGTCGCGGCCTGGGCCGCAGCGGTGCCCTTCTCTCTCCGGGGCGGCGGCGCGAGGGGACGCGAGGGCAACCGCGCGTCACGCATCGCCAGCGTGCGACGATGTGCGGGGTCTTTGGTGTTGGTTCGGGGGAGCGTAAGACCCGGGTTTGCCAGGACTCGGGTTCGCCATCGTTTTTTGACGACCGCACCTCGGATTTTGACGAGTAGGAGTTTCGTGGGATGTCTGCAGCGGGAGGCCTTGTCAAAATGCAGGCTCGGCCTCGTCATTTTTTTGACGACCTCGTCAGGGATTTCCGAGTCCTCTGTACCCGGGTCTTACGCCCCCCTGATTGGTGTGCTCTCGTCGCCGCAGCTGTGCGCGCAGCTCGGAAAGCGGGCTGGCCTGGAGCCCGAAGAGAGGGCACACGGATCCGTGATTTCGAGCAGATTTTCAGGTCGGGGGCGGGGCCAGAAAGGGGGCCTTCTGAGAAAGCGGAGGGGCCTTCTCAATCACGGAAAGAGCGTGTTCTACCGCTGCTGGCGGAAAACCGGGGGGGGGTCACTACCGGTTCGAACCCTTCCCCCCCCCCCCCTCCGGAAAACCGGGGGGGGTCACTACCGGTTCGAACCCCTCCCCCCCCCCCAAGCTCATCATGAAAAGGGGGGGGGGTCACTACCGGTTCGAACCCCCCCCCCTGAAAACCGGGGGGGGTCACTAGAACCCCCTCCCCCCTCTCGAAAACCGAGTGGGGGTGCGGACAGTGGTGGGGACGGTGTTGGTGGGGACAGTGGTGAGGGGACAGCGGGACAGTGGTGGGGACAGTGGGACAGTGGGACAGTGGTGGGGACGGTAGTGGTGGGGACAGTGGTGGGGACAATGGTGGGAACAGGGGGGACAGTGGACAGTGGTGGGGACGGTGGTGGTGGGGACAGTGGTGTGGGGACAGTGGGAATGAGGTGGAAACAGTGGGACAGTGGAGGGTACAATGGTGGTGGGGACAGTGGTGAAGGCGGTGGCGAGGACGGCGGTGGGACAATGGGACAGAGGTACAGTGGGGACAGTGGTGGGGACAGTGGGGACAGTGGTGGGAACAGTGGGACAGCTCAGTGGGACAGCGGAGGAGTCAGTGGGACAGTGGGGACAGTGGGGATAGTCGGGCAGTGGTTGGGGCCGTGGAGACAGTGGGGAGAGTGGAACCGTGGTGGGAACAGTGGTGGGGACAGTGGGGACAGTGCGACAGTGGTGGGGGCACTGGTGGGGACAGTAGGGACGGTGGTGGAACCAGTGGGGACAGTGGTGGTGAGGACAGTGGTGCTGGGAACAACAGTGGGGGATGTGATGCGGACGGTGGTAGGGACCGGGAGTCGTTTGCTGGCGGTGACGGGGGGGGTGGTCGAACCGGTAGTGACCCCTCTCCGGTTTTCGAGGGGGGGGGGGTTCGAACCGGTAGTGACCCCCCCCGGTTTTCGGCCGGATCCAGAGGGGGAGGGGGGGGAGGGGTTCGAACCGGTAGTAACCCACCCGGTTTTCGAGGGGGAGGAGGGGGGGGGGGTTAGGAGAGGGGAGGGGTTTGCCGGGGGAGGGGGGGGGGGGGTCCCAGCAGGGGTGGTGGATTTTCGGAGGGGGGGGGGGGGCGACCCCCGGGTTTCGGAGGAAAATGTTGGCAAGTTTCCACAGTAAAGCGGCGGTGGATCACGCTCTCTCCAATCACGGGAGCCCAAGCATGTATCATGATCAGGAGGGAAAGAAACACACAGACACAATTAATCGGCGATTCTCGAGAAAATATGGGAAGTGGGGGGGAAGACAAAAACAAAGAACATATGGAAAAATATGGGGAATCCTTTTATTTGTGTGTATTTGTTTGTGTGTCCCAGGGCCCCTTCAATGGATCGAGGCGACGTGGAGCAGCGGCGAGTCCCGCTCCCGTACAGAGTCGGCGCGCTCCGTCGCCGAGCCGGGCGGCGGTGGCTCCACGTTTCGGGCGGCGTTGACTCCACAGCCGTGGAGCTGGCGCCCCTTTCGACAGAGCCGCGGATCCCCAATCCATGTTCTTGGCATCGCTCGGACGTGTGTATTTTTCCTTCGGCGAGGACCATCGAGGAGCATCCTTGATCATCCTGCGAAAAAACCACGCACGAAACCGAAAAAAAAACACAGGGAATGGACGTCCGAGCGATGGCGAGTGTTGGCGTGCGCCCGACTCGGGAAGCCCTCCCGCCCTCCAATCGGGGAGGCGCAGATATGGACCGAGGCGCGTGGATGAACGATGGATGTTGCTTCCATGCGAATGCGGTTCGCTCCGCCGCCGAATCGGGCGGTATTGGCGTTATGTTTCATCCCGAGCCATGGATCTGGCGTTCACGCGTCAGATCCACGGATCCGTAATTCATGTTGGCGCATTCCCGATCCGAGGAGCCTTCTCACTACCTCCGACCCTTTGCTGAGAAACCGCTTGCCATGTTAGAAGCTCACCCCCCCGTCGAGTACCCCCCTCTTGCGCGCCGCCGGCATACGTGCGAGGATGCTTGGAGGCCTGGCATGGTGCAAATCAGATACGTGGAGCCCATTGCATGCCCAGACGGGGTCAACCTGTCAGTGAAGCACGCCAGGTTTGCCAACACTTTCACGAAGCTGCGGGTGTGGACTTTGCCGATGGACCGCGTGGTGTTTCTAGATGCCGACATGGTGGTGCTCCAGAACATTGACGACCTGTTCGGTCCGGGGCCGCCCTTCCGGGCCGCCCCCGACTGCGGGTGGCACTGTGACGGTTCGGTGAACTCTGGCCTCATGGTTCTGTCTCCTTCCAACGTCACGTTCTCAGACATGATGCATCAGCTCGATGTTTTTGGTTCCTCTGACGGCGGCGATCAGGGATTTCTGAACGCCTTCTTTAGCGGACCACTGGATTCTCAGGAGTACCCGATGCTGGACCAACGGTACAACTTTCTTAAACGCGTAGAGGATCTCGAGCGCGAGAATTTCAGTCTCCTCGCACACAACGTGAGCGTTGTTCACAACGTAGGTCATAAGCCCTGGCATTCCGAATTTGACCCCGAGACGAATTTCTCGTATCCTGAATGTCATGGGGCGTATTTCGCAGCGCACGATTTATACGAGAAGCGCTGTCACTCCCGCGTTGTACGGGAGTTCCGCTCAGAGTCTAACTCATTCTCGGTATTATCCAGCTGCCTGCGGCAAGTTCCGTCACCGGGCCAACTCAGCTCTCTGTGTGGCGATTTTTCGAGCACCGCCCAGAAGGCAACACCACGTGACACAGCTCGTGTCTCACGGGGTTACCTGGGCTGTCTTGGGCTCCTGCGGGGCCGTCTTGGGGCCGCCGTAGTGCCGTTTAGGGCCTCTGCGAAGTCTTTTGGGGCTGCCCTGGGGGCCTCTTGGGGCTTTCGGGCCCATCTTGGGACTGTCTTGGGTCTCTCGACCGTCTGGGGAGTCTCTTGGGGCTGTCTTGGGGGCCTCTTGGGATATCCTAGGGCCATCTTAGGCCATTCGGGAACCTCCTTGGGCAAAACATCCAGGGCCACTCTTCGACCGTCTGGGGGTTCCATTAGAGCTGTCCTGGGCCGTATGGCGGGCGTCTGATCATTGGGTTGTTCGGCCTCTCTTTGGCTCCTCCGAGGCCCCCTCTGGGGCCTTCTTGAGCCGACGGTCCCAGGATTAGCGAAATATGCAAACTGTTGTTCCTCTGGGTCCTCCGAAGGTTTCTGGGCCTCCTTGCGCTGTCTTGGAAGGCCCAGCAAGGTCCCGAGGGCCTCTTGGGAGCCTCTCGGGGGCCGTGGGGTCCCTGAGGAGCGGCAATGCGGAGCCGTCTCGGCGGCCTTGGAGGCAGCCCCGAGCCATCTTGAACTCCTTGCAGATCGGCGGCGAACCGGGGGGGTGGAGCGAGAAGGAGAAGGGCCTTCTCCGAAGGCGGCGGGACTTCGCAGAGGAGCTCTCGCGCCTTTGAGAGGTGTTTCGGGTCTTCGGGGATGGCTTTGACAGCTTCTCAGAAGGGCGGGGGACTTCCGAGCCTTTTGAACAGGCCGTCTCCTCTTCACTCCCCCCCCCTCGCTCGCCGCCAAGCAGAGCACCGAGGAAGCTCGGAGCCGCCCAGAGAGCATCAGGGTGAGGGGGGGGGCGGATGCACGCGACGGAGTTGAACCTCGGAGGGGCCAGCCTTTGCAGTCGTCACTTCCTCCTTCCCCTCCTCCTCCTCCTCCTCCTCCTCCTCCTCCTCCTCCTCCTCCTCCTCCTCCTCCTCCTCCTCCTCCCCCTCCTTCTCCTTCCTCCTCCTCCTCTTCCTGGTCTCCTGGCCGCAACCTAGACTCAGGACGTGGAGCCGATTCGTGGTCGAGGCTCGCCGTGTCCAGGGAAGCCCCTGCGCTCCGCATCCAGCGTTCCTTATGGTAGCACCATGGCTGCATCACATTTACATGAAGACTGCCAGACAGCCCTTGGTATTCTCGGGGGCGGCCAGGAGGGGGGTGATGATGTCATGGCCGGGGCCATGATATCTCCCCAGATTTCGTGGCGCCGCTTCTTATTTCATTACGTCCCTGGCCCCCCCCTGGGCCGCGCACATGCCGCCGGCCACGATTTGCGCCACGCCCTCTTGGACCGCCCCCCTCTTTGGCCGCCCCCGATATTCTACCACGCCTCAACGCGACATGGGGCATAGTGGCGGATATCTTCGCTGCCTGGCAGCCGCGGGGGCACTCGCTCTGATCACAACGTGCGTCTGCGTCTCGTGGAGCATCGTGAAGGCGGGAGCCGACGAGTCGGACGACTACCGCGCGCGCCTGGTGATGTCCACGAGGTCAGACGGTGTTCGGATGCTGCCTCCTGTTGTCTCCCGCCCCACCGCTGTCTCCCGCTCCTCTGAGCAATAGGCTGCGGCTTCTCATGGGGCGTGCGCGTGCACAGCATCTTCGGCTGCAAGCCGCGCCTAGTCTGTTCAAACATCGAACTGTACTTCAGAGGCGTGCGTAGTCCTCCTCTCTATCTCTTCTTCCCGCGGCTTCGCAGGGGGCCCGCCGGGGCACAGAAGCTGCCGCTGGCTGCCTCCTCTTCCGCCTCCTCTTTCTCCGCCTCCCCCCCCTTGATGGGCTTGTTTTCCACCACCACCATGAGTTGGAGGGGGAGGGGGTCCTCCACCTCCTCCTCCTCCTCCTCCCCCTCCTCCTCCTCCTCCTCCTCCTCCTCCTCCTCCTCCTCCCCTTCGTCCGTAGCCATTTTGGCTCAAGGTTTTGGTTTCCCAGGGGAAACAAGTGGATACCGCTAGTCCGCGGCTAGTTCCCAGTTTCTTTCATCGCACCGCTGCGTGAGCCGGCCCAGGCGACGCAGGAGCAACCTCCCAGCGAGACGGCGTCAGCATGCCGAAGCGCCAGACGTACACGGTGTGCGGCGGGTGCGCAGGTTGGGTGTTCGACCGGAAGCTCCAGCGCTCGGGAGGGTGGTGCAACAAGTGCGAAGCCTACATCAGCGGCTGGGGTGGGAAGTCGGACTCTGGCGGTGGCGGCCAGCGCGGTGTTGGCAAACCACCGTGGGCCAAGCAGATTGCCATCACCTCCCCCGCTGACGAGGTGCAACACATCATCGACAAATTCCAGCTGGGCAAGGGCGCCTATGCCACAGCCAACGTCGACATTGGCCCGTTGCAGGCGCTCCAGGCCCAGCTCACAGCCAAGGCGCCGAAGCCCGCGGAGATCCCCAAGGCTCAGGCACTCAGGCAGGCCATCAACACCATGGATCAGAAGAAGGCGGCCCTGGCGAAGGCGGCTAGCCAGCTCATGGAGGCGCAGCGCTGGCTGGGGGACGCCCAGGAGAAACACAAGACGGCGCTCGAGGACGCAGCCGACGCGGAGGAGCAGCACGAGGCCACCCTGCGGGCGTACTCCAGCGAGACCATCCCGTCGCAGGACGAGGACTCTGCGGCGGACTGGAAGGCGCCAGAGGTGGACCCCGAGCTCTTCGCCAACTTGGACGACTACGAGGCTGAGGACAAGAACAAGCTGCTCAAATTCAAGAAGGACATGGCCTCCCTCGCACAGCTCCTCGAGAACGCAAAGAAGCAGTGCACGGAGTTCACGGAGGCGAAGAAGCAGGCGGATGCCATTCACGCGTCCCACAAGGCGAAGAAGCGGAAGGCGAACACAGGCGGCGAGGCTCCCGCAGCAGCAGAACCTCCACCCACGCAGGCGCCAGCGCATCCGCTGCAGCAGCGGAAGCCAAACCACTGTCCGAGGAGGAGGTGCAGCAGCGGAAGGACAGGCTGGAGCGGCTTAGGAACGACGCGAAGGCCACGGCCAGCTCGAGGCACGGGGTCGGTCGAGCTGAAGATGCTGCTGCTGCTGGCGGCCCTCGTCTTTAGCAAGGTGTTCTTCTCGAACATCACACAGTGGGGCCCCAAGGCCCACAAGTTCATCAACGAGCAGGGCAACGACATGGATATCATCATGATGTGCGAGACGCACATGGCAAAATATAAGATGAAGCAGGTGAAGGTCGACGTGGCCAGGGACGGCTGGAAGATGGCGGGCACGGCGGCGGTGCCCACGCAGCGCTCGGAGGACGGGACCTCTGGGGGCGAACTCATCTTGGTCAAGTCCCACATCGCCTGCTCCACGTACGACACTATCAGAGAGAGGCTGCAGAATGACGGGAAGAAGGACCCCTTCTACGGCTTCACGGCGGTGAACCTCCACGCGAAGGCAGGCAACGTGGTCTTGGTCTCGGCATATTCGCTGCCAGGGGTTGGCTTGCACGGACCCAACCGAGAGCGGGTTCGATCCTTGGCAGGCTTCGTGAAGGCGCTGGCGGATGCCTGGGTGGTCCTGGCAGACTGGAACGCCCCCTTCGCGGACGTCGCCAAGACGGGGCTTGTCCAGCGGCGCGCTGGTCAAGCCGGACGTGGAGGTCACATGCGACAAAGGGAAGGGCAGCCTCATCGATTTCGCGAACCTCAGGGCAGACTTCGCGCACACGGTCAAGTTAGAGGCGGTGCGGACGGTACCCTGGCGCACACATTGTGGGCTCTCGCTTACACTGGAAGGGTCCGCTACACACACCATGGTGGCACCGCAGAATGCAGTTGCCGAAGGAGCTAGCGACACCTCCGAGACCGAAGAAGAAGGCGGACCCACACAGTAAGCGGACCCGAAAGCGGAACGAGGAACGGCAACGAGTAGAAGAGCGATTCGAGCCACACCTACGAGAAGCGTTCCAGGAGCAGGTCATGGTCGAGGAAGAGGATACGGCGTCGAAGGAGAAGACCTTCTACATCACAGATGGGACGTGGGAGGAGACCCTACGCTCGTTTTGCCCTGCGGGTACGCACTGCTCAGTCCCCCAGCCTTCGGGCATTGGAGACCAGAGGGTACCGACCCGCAGCGGCTTGAGCGGGGCCCTCTCTCAGGAGCTGCAATCCTGGGGCGGCCGCCTGATCGCCAGAGACGGAAGGCACCGCGACGCTGAAGGGGCGGCGACGAGGATGCATGGCGACTGGGTCACCTGTCTTGAGGAAGCGGCGACCGCAACGGACGAGATTGGAGAGGAGGAGGCTGCGCATTACCGAGGGAGAGCGTCGGGCTTCGACGTCAAGTGGGCGAAGGCGAGATCCACACCAGGCAGGGCCCACATGAAGTTCGGGCCCGCGGAGCAGCGGGGCATCCTCAACGCTATCCTCATCAGGTACCAGGCACTGCGTTCCAATGGCACGGATGGCAGGCAGCAGGCGAAGTGCTTAGCGGAGGCGAGGGCACAGGGCAAGGTCCTGCGGGGGATGGGCCAGAGCCAGGTCTTCGGCAAGAAGCACGGCGACACGGCGCAGCAGAGGTTCTACGAGATGTTGGGCGACCTGTCAGAATTGGATGAAGCGCAGATCGGCAACTAAGCGATGCAAGCAGAGGGCCACCTCGCCACGGCGCAAGCGCGAGGATTTGCAGCGCAGCAAAAGAGCTTCACGGCCTGGGCGAAGAACGCGTGGACTGGTAAGGTTGGCCTCCTACATCGGCATACGAAGGAGCAGCAGGCGCCGAGGTTCGAGCTGTGCACGGGGAAGCTGGAGGGAGTGGCCGACCCCGACATACTCATAGGCATCAGGAAGGAGGAGTGGGAGCGCATCTGGACAGGCCCAGTGGACACGAAGGAGGACATCGCGTACCAGCTGGGCAGGCTGCGCGACCAGGCTTGGGAGCACGAGCTGGAGGCGCTCACCCTGGAGCAGGTCGACGGCGCCATCTCGGCGACGTCTGCAGCTGAGAAGAGGAGTTGATCATCTTGGACCGCGTGATCTCGTTCGGGCTCCCAGGCAGGCCAGAGCATGGTTACTCCACATTTTACATTTCTGCGAGAAGGAGACCACATGGCCGAGACAATGGGCTGCCACCAAGTGCGCGCTGGCGGCCTAACAGGGAGGAGGAGATAGAGTACTCGGCATGCTGGTCCTTCCTGCCAAGTTCCGGTCGAGAGCGAGAGGCGGATGTTGCTCATAATGGAGCGATGGGGTGTCGGCACATTGGGACACCGCTCTCAAAGGGAGCTCAACACTTCGAGCTGGACTGCTGCGAGCATGCCTGGACGCAGTCGGAGCAGAGCTGGGGGCATCGGCGGCGACGCTCCTCCTGGACATTGAGAAGTTTTACGACACGGTTCACTGGTTATATTGAGCCAGATCGCCGTCAGGGTGGAGATCACCGCGTTCGTGGGCCCCAGATTCTTGCAGGATCGGAACGCCCTCAGCGAGGCGATCTGGTCGACGAGGTCATTGGTAGCAGGCTCGGCACGAGGAGTGGGATTGGCCAAACTCTTCCTTCGTCCGATACTTGAACGGGCGCATCGGATGGCGCCGCAGTCGTCGCTATGGGCATTCGTGGACGACGCGGTGGCGCGACAAGCAGGAAGTAGACAAACGGTAGGAGATGGCATTGCCCAGGTCACGGAGACCTCACGGACGGCCTCAAGGAGCAGAGGATGAAGATCTCCAACAAGTCGGCATTGATCTTCACGCGCCCGAAGGGCGTGAAGCAGACAGCGAAGAGCGCGAGGAAGCGGCAGATCCCTGTGCACGCTGTCACGGAGGCGGTGGACTTAGGCCTGGACACGTCGGCGGGTGGGAAGAGGGTCACGACGAAGGCGAAGCAGAGAGTAAAGAGAGCGAAGCACATATTCGCACAAATAGCGATATTAAGACGCACAGCGGCCCTGGCTAAAGAGAGCAAAGGTTTGTGGAACGCAGGTGCGGCACCACAGGCGCTATGCGGTCATCAGGCGTTTGGGCTGGCTCTTCATGAGCTACAACGGCTGCGACGGCAAGCTGGACAAGTGGCTGGAGGGAAGGCTCGGGGACGATGCTTGACGACCGCGCTGGCCGTAGAGATGTGGAGGGGCGACCCTGGTATCGCAGTGCGGGTGGCGGTCATAAGGGAGTGGATCAACTTGTGGCAGCGCTACCCCGAGATTCGCGCCAGGGTCGTCAAGGCGTGGCCGAGCATTCACGGGCGTCTGTCAAAGTTGGGGCCGAAAAGATGGCGAGGAGTACGAGGACCAGTCGGAGCGGTGCAGGCTACTCTAATGGACGTGGGCCGGCATACACCAACGGCGATGGCATGGACGCAACCAGTTGGCAAAGACGAAGATGATGCAGAACAGTGGGATATACCGTCGGTAATGGGAGGCACGTTCGAGAGCACTGGATGCTTTCAACCACTGCTGGGCGACTTCGAGGACGATATTCGAGCCCAGTTGTGGAAGGCGGCCGCAGCACACCCCCGCGGAGACGGATTGGAAGCTGGAGCAGATGCATGGCAGATCCGAGCTGAACAGCGCAGGTTCGAGAAGCAGGGGCACCTCGACATGGTCGGTCTGAACATCACGGTGGTCACGGGGGGGTAGTGGCCGGAGCAGCGCTCCGCCGAGCAGGGGTGCCTCTTGGACAGCAAGAAGTGCGACAGGTGCCAGGGGGCGGCCGAGACGCCGATGCATCGGATATGGATGTGCCCAAAGAACGCGGACCACGACGACTTCATCAAGTCTGAGTCACTTGTGCCCGCAGCGATGGCACAAGCTGACGCCGACCCTGCGCTCTGGCTTCGAGGACT